CTCATTTTTTATTTATTTAACCCATTTATTTATTTATTTAATTTTGGCGCAAATGGCTCTCCATACAACTTCAAAAAGTAAATTTTGTATTATATTTAAAAACTAACCTAATTTTTATTCAAATGTATTCTGATTTAAATAAATTCAGCCAAATTACATATGAAATGAAAAAAAATTGCCACATTTAGAGAAACAAAAGGACTGCTTTGAAGAATATTTTTTTGACTTCTGTCTTACCATGGTAAGAAATCCGACCTCGAGCAGCGTTTTTGCCTCTCCGGTTCTCTGCGATACATTCATACATCCCCGCATCTTCCTGCTGAAAATTAGGGATTTCAAGGACAGCATTCGAATTCTTCATTTTAACTTTGCTGGGGAAAGGGACACCACTTGGTCTCCTCCAGCTTATTTCTGGGACAGGGCTGCAAAAAAAAGAAAAAAAAGAAAAAAGGAACAAAAGTTGCCAGGCTTTTAGCTCTGTCTCTGTGATCAAAGTGTAATTCAAAGCAGAAAAGTAGATAAGACCAAAGTTTTGTGATTTATTTATTTATTTTTCAAAGTGTGCATACTCAGATTGTTTATCCTCTGTCTGTAGAGAACTTTGATTTATACATCATTTTATTTTTAGGCTGGCAGTTGTTCACATATATTTAGGCAAATCAGATAAAGAGTACATACTATTGTTTGCTTAAATAGCTCTAATTTATGTTGGAAATCAATCTACTGTTCATTTAACACACTAAAGAAAGCTGGACTTACTTTCCCAGAGCAAAACATTCCAATTTGACCACGGATTCTTTTGCAGCTGGAACTGAATCTGGAAAATGAACTTCTATTTTGGGCTCATACTCACCCATTACACCTACAAAACAGAGAGCACAACAGACAATGAGCTTTTTATAGCACTGGCAAACTGCAGATATTGCCCTGTGTGTCTGGATCAGAGACAGAGGACTGATAGAGTGGGACAGCTAGCACTTCAAGCCTTTATGGTCATGTAACAAAGTGATCGTTGAAGGTCTTATAAAGGAGAGAAAAAGTAAGAGGCGGGTCATAAAAGATTCAGAGAACACATCATTGAAAAGATTAGCTTGGTGGAGATTACTTGCAGAGATTTATGAAAGCAACTTAATTTAGGACTTTATTTATATTCATTTCACTGGGATAGGCCACACGCTTCTGTTGCAAATATAGCAGCGTACCCTTTGCTATTACCAGCTTCAGACCCGGTGCCCTGCAGCTTTGGTGTCCTGTGTCCCTTCATGTTAAAAAGCAGAATGGATAGTGAAAAATGAGGGTATTGTTTTATGGAGGCCTCAAAGCTAATAATAAGTAATAATTTGTTGTGATTTAACAGTAATAACGTATGAAAACTACGTGGTTACCAGTCAGTTCAGCAGTTTGGTTGGAGTGGTGCACATGTGGATAATCCTCTGAGATGCAGGCATAGATTTTTCATTATCTAGGTCATCAAAGAATGCATGCTGCAGGTGGTGGAAGATAAACATTAGCCATACAGATTTTTTTTTTTTGACTCTTTTTACACTTGTGTTATTTATTTGCCCTTCTATATTATTTTACTGTGCTATGTTGCAGAAATATATTCTGAACTTCCTTCTACAGATCTGGTTACTAGTTCCTTAATAGTCTGCTATGCATCAAAGCAATGATTTAAAAGAAAAATTAACTCAGTTACTAACTCCATGACATGTTTCCAATGAGGCAGGGTCTCATTGTAGAAGCCAGTTTGAATAGAATTTAAAATTTGCTTTATCTTGTTAGCTACAAGCACAGCATGTTTGTAAATGGTCTCAGATCTTTTATGATCCGAGACCATTTCCCAGATTATTTTGGGTGATTAGCAACATTTTGAGTGATTAATGTCATAGCAACATTTTAATAACTACTGTTTTAAAACACCAAAAAATAAATGAATAAATAAATCCATGACACTATTGAAGCAGCTAAAAGCTCTTTTAACATCAGAGAAACTGGAGAGCACACTTCCTGTTAGGTGGCTAAACAAAGACTGCTACAGCTCTAAAAGTAAGTAATATGGCTGTTTTGACTTAATTCAAGTCAGTAAAAACAACAAGAAATATGATGTTGAAAATAAAGGACCGTTATCTTTCACTCTTAAAGAATAATTATTTAAAACAACAGCTGGCTAGCTACGAGTAGCATACTAAGTAGCTAAACACACTTGCTAACCTGCAGATAGTCAGTGGTTCCCAAACTTTTTCTCCTGGGCCCCCCCAGTGGTTTCCAAACTATTTCTGCCCCCCCCATGGCTTACAAATAGCTGTCTGGTTGTCTGGTTTGAACGATGTTTGTCAGTGAAGGGTTGGGGGGCGGGGCAGTCTTAGAGACTCCCTGTTATATTCAGCCCCGGCTCCAGACGAACAAGGTGGGGAATAAACTTTTATTGGGAGCAAAATGAATCGTAGCTGAACATAGACAACACTAGTAGCATACAAGCTACTTGTTAACAAGCTTAAGGTGCTGTATTGATATTAGCTAGCTAGTCATCTTTTAGCTAACTTTACCTGCATCCATCAGCTTTACTCAACAGTCTGTTAGTTTGGGGGGAAAAAACTGTGCAAAGTTATTTGCGTTGTGCTGGTTTGCTGCCATGATTCTAACACACCTGAGTAGCTCTGCACAGCAGCAGCAGGTCTCCGTCGCTGCCGTACAGGTGTAAACCCAGCGCGAGCGTCGTAGCCATAGACATAATATAAGAATAGACGCCTCATGGACCGCTCTCGCCTATTGTCGCTGACGAGATTTAGGGTGGCCATCTTGGAGCGGTCCACCACTCCACTCAGCGTTATGTGTTTAGCAGGCACAATGACGTATCAGCGCATTTAATCGATCATAACACGCTTTTTTGTTACTGGAAACCATATTCAAACATCTATCAAAGCAACATTTATAAACAATTGTATTATTTAAGTATGTTTTTAATACATAGTTCGGCATATTTAAATATGCTTAGCGGCTATAACAATAGAATAGGAATGGAATATTCTGATATCGATGTATGAAGAGCATATTACAAAGCACACAGCCGTTCATAATTTATTTAATAAATTATTTAGTAATATCAATACATATCTATATAACTATACAAACACAAATAAATAATGATTAATAATGACACAAATAAATAACGATTAATACTGAATAATATATATTGGACACATGTTTATATATATGTATGTATATATATATATATATATATATATATATATATATATATATATA